GACGTAGCAACGGATCCAGGCTTGGACGCCGTAGACCCAGTCTGGGGTCCAGATCCAGACTTGGACGTAGTGGCGGATCCAGTCCTGGACACCGAGGTAGATGTGGATCTAGCGACTTGGATCCTGCTCCCGACTTCGAGGGGGAAGCGGAAGTCTTGGACGCGGATGTGGATCCCGCCTTGGACGCAGAGGTGGTTCCCGCTTGCGTAGACGTTTTAGAGACCGGAGTCGTTTTGGGTTTGGCTTTCGGGGAAGCACGAGCTTGCTTACGGGGACGGGGGGATCCGGTGCTAGGAGCGGGAGACGCACTACGCGGACGTTTCGCAACAGATGGATCTGCCCCACTTACAGACGGGAGAGGAGCAGAGACGCTGGCAGTACGAGAAGGTCCCGACAAGGGAGGAAGGAGATCCGAAACGGCAGCTGTCACCAGTGCCAGTCGTCGACGAGCCAAATCCCGCTCCGATAAGCCACGATCGCGCTCCAGGACCAGCTGTTGCTGCTGAGTTTGGGCTGCAGCGAGTTGATCCCGGAGTTTCGCGGCGGTCGCATCGGCTTCTTTCAATTTGTCGCCTGGATGGACAATAACGAGTGAATATGGGGTTACTAGCAAGGACTAAAAGAGGATCCACGTACTCGTGCGGCGAAGCTTGGATTCCAGCTCTGTTTGTGCACGCTTGGCAGCCGCCCACTCGGTAGCCGCCTTGTCCCGCTGGAGTTCGCTGTCCGCCAGTTTCGCTTGGATCTCGTCGCGTAATTGAGTTATACGCACGAACTCCTCGAGCGCGTACTCTCGTCCGGCAGACGCTTTCTCGAGCGACTCCTTGGTATCCTGCAACTCCTCAGCAAGCTGAGCCAGAGCTACATCCGGCGACGAAGGAGATGGATTTGGCGCGGGAGATCCTCCACGCGCCGACCCTAAGGTGGATCCGCCATGGGTGGATCCCACATAGTCGTTGGTCACCACCTCCTCTTGGGTCAGACACAACTCGTCACGGAGCCGGTCCAAGCTCGCATCCGCAGCGGCCCCAGCAGTCTGGGAGTCCTCCAGATCCCGCTCGAGGTCGCGGATCCGGGATTGGAGCTGGTGGATCTCAGATCCAGCAAGCGCCGTCTCCCTAAGGAGATGGTCGTTGTCATCCCGCATGACATCTCGCTGACGGGAGGCGCGATCCAGCCGTCCGGTCAGGTCGCGGATCTCGACCAGCCAGCAAGAGTCGCAGGTCCTGCGACCGAGAGGCCGCACGGTGCTCCCACCCCTGGATCTCCATAGCCTGGTCATGGATTTGGGCTCGCAAGGTCTGAAGCTGGGTAGTGTGCAGAGACGCAGCTTGGTCTTGGGCATCTTGAGCCGTCTGGAGCTCCGCCGTCAGGGTTTGCACCTGATCGGAAAGATCCTGGGCTAGAGCCCGCAGATCGGTGGGCGACATGGAAGACGGACTGACCGGAGGTGTGGTGGATGGGGTCTTGCCCGACGATTTGCCGGTACGCTTGGCGGGAGACATGTGTCGCGAAGGGGAGAAAGCCGTTGTGGATGCTGGTAATGCACGCCGTGAACGCTGTTGTGCAGCGCCGACAACGTACAGGAGGCGATTGTGGTGAAGTGCTTTCTCAGAAATTAAGAGAATGGGCCTGACGCGGGTCACTATCCGATCAGTGACATTTCATGAATCAGAGAGGATTGGGTTGATGCACGATGTAGTGCCTGTGGTGGATTAGCCATGACGAGCAGCACCCGTATGAAGTGACGATGGATCTGGTTTTGAGCGATGTACAGGAAGACAAAATCCACCAAGACTTATCTCGGATCCACCCTTACCTGGATTCACTTAGGTGGATATGGGATACACTATGTACCAGTGGATCGAGCGGGGATCCTATGAAGGAATGGTGGTAGGTGTCATCCGAAGGTGGATCTAATAGCCACGGCTAACGAGGAGTCAAGATCCACCGCGAGGTACCCCGGATCCCATACCTCCGAGTCCGGATCCATGGAGGAAGGATCCCGCCTTGAGGGACCTGGATCCAGGGTATAAGGATGATGGATGCAGTGGATCTCGAACTTTCGTGGGACCAAGGAGATCACAGAAGGTTGCAAGATGATGTTGGATGATTGGAGAGCTCGGATCCACGGCGAGTGTACCATTACAGCGAGGTGGATCCAAGCGACCTAGATCCGGATGAGTGTACCCATAACAGGGTGACCATGATGATTACGTCATATATCCGGTGGATCTGAAGATAACACAGCTGGAATGATGGGTCAAGGGAAGAAGGGACATGCAGCCGAGCCTGGTAAGGGATTTAGAAGATGAAAGACATAGAAGGTAGAAATCCAGGCAGGTATAGGCTTAAATATCAATACAGACCTCAATTTGCACAGTATCACGCAAGTGCCTTCCTGCCCTCAAGAACCGGAATTACATTGGCCGTACGAGCTCGGAGAAGGTTGGGAATTGCGAATCTAGTGTTGGTAGTGATAACTGGATAATACATTGGCCAGATCCTACAACCTAGTGAGCGATTTCCTTTACTTGTGCAGATCCGACAGGTTAACCGAATTTATTACTTGGTCGGTTACACCCTAGAGGCTCTCAACTTTCAAGATCCCGTCACAGGAGGCGGCAAGTACGACGCAAAGGAACTACAAAGTCAAGGGAACACACCCGTAAGGCAACCCTACGGCCAGATTCACGATCTAGGCCCCGGATCCATAAGCTCGAATATTCGCTTAGGATTCGGAACAATCCACGGACGCAGAGTGAAGATTTTCCACTGCTGCTCCACCCCATCCCCATGTCTCGCCAAGACACTCAAGCTTCACCACTTGAACTCTTCGGAAGTTACCGAGAGAGCAAGATCCCGCCCTACCGACGGGTACACAAGGTGAGGAAAGTTCAGCAGAACACGGATCATCGGGGGACCCCCTCCGTTAGTCGGTGTCTGGGCGCAGTTGGTAAGTTGGATCTGGCAATCTCGCAGATTTTGCTGATCCCGCTACACCACACATGCACAACGCTAAATATCTCAGCAACCGGCCGAGGGTACCACTCGGTAGCGGCTTCTTGGATTCGAGAGAGAGAGAGCCTGGCGGAGGTCGGATATAGTAACTATGTGCGCCGTTGGCACTGTGTCTCCAGCTCCCCATGTGGCCGAGTCGTGGGTCACTGAACGCCTCCCGCCGCTCTGCGCAGGGGGGGGGGAATGGTCAAGTGGACGAGTCCCGAAGTTGCCGGCGAAAATCATTTTGCAGTCACTTACGTTACCCGGTAACGAGTGCGAAGAGTTTCGTGATGCTGGATTGCCGAAACACGGTCCAGGAGCAGCATTTGCCAGTATCGAATTAAATCACTTTAGACTTCCCTACCTTGTGGTCGTGGTCCCACGCGTGCCGTCTGATGAACCTCAAGTTCAGCTGCTGGTGGTCGAAACGTTGTCGCTGTAGAGGTCAGATCCTCCATCGTCTGTCTCAGCGATGCTCGCCCAAAATCGTCGTCATCATTGGTCCTGCTGCGTGAATGTCGGCACTTTCGCGGTAGTAATAATCGCGCGAACGCAAAGCTCGCGAGTCTCGTGGCTCCTCGAGTGTTTGATGTCTGTGTACATTCGCGTCCCGCCTTGAAGACGGCTGGTGGCGATGGACAGCTGATCGCTCCGAGTCACTGCTGCGGTGTCCGCGTGGACTATCATCAAAGACATTGCCGCCCCGAGTCGTAGCAATCTCACGGGGAGATTCGCTGAAGTGACTTTCGTGGTCACGTGAACGGGGAGAGGGAGTGCCCCTGTACGATGCAGCGTCGACGCCCTCGGTGGTCGACCGACCGAGTCTCCGTGGTACACCGTGTCACGGCTGCGAGAGCGTGAATGTTGGCGGGTCCGGCAGCGACTCCGATCGCGATGTCTGTCACGGTTTCGGCCGTGTAAATGATGTGAAACTCGCTGGTACGGACTGCGACTTCTGTTGCGTCGACTGCGGTGTTGACGGGAACGTTCCCGGTTACGCTGTGGCTGCTGGCCGCGTACGACACAACTTCGGTCCGCCGGAATCGGCGGGGGCGAAGCTACTGCGGCTTCTGGTGGCGCGCCCGCCTGTTCTATCTGGCCTGATTGCTCAACTTGTCGTTGGATCCATTGTTGTGTAGATTCTACCAGCCTCTGCGTCGACTGGGCCATTGCGAGAATAACAGCCATCGTTTGCGCACTCGTGTTTTGAACTATCCGCTGTAGTGGCCGCCGAAGATTGTGGTACATGTTGTATCGTGGCCGATTGCCTCGTGTAGTCGTTGTTCGCTACCCTAGGAGTACCCTGAGCCTGATCTCCTTGTCCGCAAGGAGAAGCGGTCACACCACCCTGAACCACCGGAGTGACGCTTCCTGAAAACCACGCCTCCGGAACTGGAGCTGCCAGTCGAGGTGGTGAAATAAAGCTGACTATGTTTAGAATGTCATTGGGCATTGATCTTCCGCGTGAGAATCAAACCGCTAATATCTCGGTCGACGTGTCCGAGTCGCTGTCTGCGTCTTCGTCAAGGCGCCGAGCCCTGGATGCTGTAGGCCCGATGTACTTGCGAGCGTAACCGAGCGGAGTGACATCAAGTGCTCGTCCAAACTCCGAAACAATTGGTATAGCCTCCATGCCAAAGTCAACTGTTGTATCAGAGCCGACAGTACAAACGTTGATTTTAATTGTCTAGATAAGTCGCTGTCCGACTGAGTTCCGACCTCTTATTCTGGAACGAAAACGGGTTGCGCGTCGTATCGGATTGGATGAAGCAGGCGTACCGTGACACCGACCCACCATGAATTCATCGCGAGATATCTGGCATTCCCATGCCACGTTACACGGTAGAGATATGTAAGCCTCTGATGCCGAGGTTGGTTGACGAACGGACACCACGAAGACGTAGCTGGTACTGAGGCGTAGGCGCGCCCCAGACATAGTGGTGAAGGTAAAGCCCTGGCAGCGTCTGTATGCCACGACTTGTCCAACGAGAAACACGTTCATTGAATCTCCACGTATTCAAGGCCGCTACGGTCGTCGCCCGCCGCGACGAAACACGTTTTAAATCGTACGAACCGAAATAACATTAATAGTGGACGATCACGAAGTTCATCGACCAGATTATCGAAAGGTCGCGTTAAGCGACTGAATGGGATTACGGCGGTTTCACTGAGATCCTGAGCGTCGCCGCGGCGCTCGCGAGACTCGTCGTGGTCTGCGAGGTGGCAAACCCACCCAGGACGACGCTCCGAATCATTGACGACGAAGGGGCTGGGGTGGCCTGACCGCAGGTGGCAAGCTTCGACCAGCCTGACATAAATGGGTCGTCCCAGTCAATGTCCTCCAGCTCGTGCGGGCACTCCAAACGCACGATGTCCCGACCAGTCCGTCCGAGCGCGTCACCGCCCCGGGCGGATTAGGTTGCCGTGGCGTAATTTGAGGGCCTGGCTCCTTGTGCAGCCTGTGCTGTGGACTCGAAAGGGGCTCCGAGCCCGAATTGCTCTCTCCACGCTTGTGCTTCTCCCGGAAGAATCGCAACTACCGTGGTTTTGTCTTCTGAACCGGAAACGCCGGTTCGCCTGCCCGGTTCTTGACCGGTTAATCGAACCGTATACTTCCTGGGACTAATCAATGATTTGCTGCTGGGTGGGTGTACCGCATCGCCCCTGTTCTAACGGAACGCCCATGTTCGACGTTTACGGGTCAAATTACAAGCAAATCTCATAATTAGTGCTAAAAAGTAAAAATTACTCCAAGCTGATTCGGTTGAATGTTCGGCTCGTGAATGACCTGCCTCCACTTTTTTGAAGTGGTCCGCTGATGAGAGCTGCTGATGGCATTTCGGTCGCTTAGCTCTAGCTATTTGTATGCCGCTCTTCCAATTGCCTCTTTTTCAAACTGCTGACTGTAATTAGCTCGCGGAAGGACACATTAAGGTGCAGCCATCTGTTTTAAATAAAGCGTTTCCATTGGTCATTATCGAAGCTCGCTTAGGCCAAAACTTTGCTTAGGACAGGGGCGATGCGGTACCGTATTTCGCATGTAGACCAATACCGCTACTAGAGCGATACACCCACCCAGCAGCGAATCATTGATTAAATTTGAGATCCCAGGAAATCGCATGTCGAGTGGTACCCGACACTAAAATGAAAAAATGACTATCAAATTTCAGAAATTTCACCACAAGCGAATGGTTCGTGTCAGGCCAAAAGAAAGACCCCGACGAGGAGGACGTGGCCGCCACGTGCAGCAATACAAGCTCAATGCTGAATCAGTTGACAAGAAGCTCGCGGCTCTAGTGATGTTAAAGACGACGGGAGCTATGCGAGCCGCCATTTATCACTTTTATTCTAATCTAGTCGCCGCATCGTACAAAAGCAATCAACGTAGTGCTAATGAAAGTGCCGAAGAGCGCGACCGCTGTCTCGCAGCCAGCGGGTTTCGATGAGCTGCTGGCACAACATTCAAGCTGCGTCGACCCAACAGGATCCTGGTATGTGACTGGATTCAGCATGCGTGGAAATCACTTCCTGCTACTACAATTTCTAATGGGTTCAAGCGAAGTAAGCTGGAGCCGAGTGCTAGCTGCATTGCGTCGAGTCAGTTGGTGACCCAGCTCGACAAACTCTCGCTACTAGAAGGGCAATCGGTAGATGAAAGTGATGACTTCGCCTTTCAGGACATCATCGAAGAGACAACTGTCTAAAAATAGAGATTTTGTTTCTTCAGCTTTAAACATCATTTTTGAAGGGGAACCTATCCCTCATAACATGGGGTGTATCGGTCTACATGCGAAATACGGTAGCGGCAATAAGAAAGGGTCAAACCTAATATCTCTGACATTTTATTTTATGTGCTTATACAGGACCTCACTATAAGTACTGAGGTAATTGAAACGAAGTGACGGTCACTCTTTTGATTTTGAAAATCAAAATTCCCGCCCACAACCGAAACAACCAAGAATCCACTCCATCCTCGGCATCACGCACTGCATGTGCTCGACGAAGAACCCGTCCTACGTTTGCGCTGACACAATGCGCTGTGTCTCGCTCCTCCAGCGTATTCGCCTCACGTAGCTGCAGCAGCTTCATGCCTGCCGCCAACACGCCAAGTCTCCTACGTGGAGCCACCGCAAGCTCGTTGTCTGGGCCCAGTCCGCGTTCGGGCTACCAAAGCCACCCTCCATCCATACTGTGTCGAAGCTGTTGAAGAGGGAGGCACAGCTGCTCTCAACATCCATTGACTATTTAGAGAGGAAGAAGGCCTCGTCGCCCACGGGGCTGCTTTGGAGACGTACTTGGTGGGGCAGTTGGTAGAGTTAGAGTCACGACGGGCTGCGTTAGCTTGCGCGAGCGTTCGCTGAGATCTTGAGGATACCTCTCGCAAAGTAGCCCAAGTTTACCAAAAGCGGCTGGCAGCACCACTATATGGCCTTCCACCGCCTCAAGAAGCTATGGTTTTGGGGAAATCTAAGGAGCCACGATGGCTGCAGGATATGCCTAGTTTAGCTACACATCACGGCATTGAGAAGGGCTGGATGACAGTGAAGCTTTCCCAAGAGTGGCTACAAACACTAGACAAGGTAATCGCTGAGCATGACAGACATATTCTGCTGCTGGAAAACGCCAACCTATGGACCAAGGGGTCATAGCGTGGTTGAAGCAGGGCTTTATGGCTGCACGGACACAAGAGGCAGCTCTACGTCTACTTGACGGGGACACGGACCCGTAAAATATCGTACCATCGAAGCGCTTCAGTGGATATATGATGCCGCGAACAAGGTGCCGTCACAGGATATTAGAAACTACTGGAGACATGTTGGTTATACGTTGATGCAGGGAAGGGAAAAATGTGTTGGTATATCCGCCGGAAAAAATTGCAATCAAAATGCTAGATTGCAGGTGACGACGATATTGCAATATCAAATTGGAAAAAAATATGCAATACTCAACTAACTAAGTTTTACACTTGCTCACCGCCATGCGACTTTCCTATCGTTTTGGCAACAAGACGTGAGTCCCAGAAATCTCGGTTACCTTGAGAAACATAATGGCTTCGAACATGACAGGAGTCAGTCGGGATGGGCGGTCCGTTACAACGTATTTAGCTACTAAACAGCCTCTCAACTACTGCAGAAGCTCCTTTCATGAAGCTGAGGTTCTCATACGTCGTTGTTTTGGTCATATTTAGGCGCTTGCGTTCTTGTATCTGGTGATAATAGTCGACCATTTCGCCATGTAGAATGCGTCTAGACGAGGGAGCTGTTTTAACCTCAAACTGCTTTATAACCGTTTTCTCTCGGGTTGACAGGTCTCATTTGGTGTCGTGAAGAACCTTCGTAATGGCTGCTTCGAAGATTGGATCATGTACAATGAAGGCGTCTTGTGCAAGGTGAGGACTCATCTCGGGATAGTCTTCAAGAATAGCATCGAAAGTTCCGCGAGCAGACGTCACGGTAACATTCTTGTCTTGGAGGCCGACCATCACGGCGTCAAACTTCCTCAAGGCTGGATATATGTCTTTGAGTACCTGAAACTCTGCAGGAGGGGGGAGTTCGATCTCACGAGCACTACGAAGCTCGTTTTGAATCTTAAAAGCGATCTATCATCTGGAAAGTTGACGATCAACACGTGTCATTGTTTCGAATCATCACCAGCTCAGTCAATTCTCGCAGTGCAGCCGCTGCCTTGAGGTTCGTCGCTTGTATACATACAGCGCTCAACTTATCAATGACGCGGCATACCGCGGGTTGTGCCTTCACCCAGCGCTTGACGGCCAGGTTGAATTTGTGAGCTGCACATCCAAGCAGCGGTACACCAACTAGGTCAGCCGTCGCTTTATTAGTAGCACAATTACCCCCAATTATAACGGATATATTGGCCAGCGAGCGGTTGTAAACCTACAGTACGTATTCGAGCAGGTCTCGGTGCGACTCAGCGGTGTATGAATTCTCGTCCAATGGAGGGGAAAACCCAAGAAGCACCTCCCTACACTTATCGTCCTTGATGTACTGCGCAAATACAGCAACGTAATGTGTCGTCTTGTGCTTCCATCCATCGAACATAATGGCGAAAAACTCTGGAATTTCAGTCGCGATAATGTTCTCGACGAGTAGTGCAAGTTCACCTATGTAGGTCCGTACAGATTTGCTTGATACATGCTTGGAAGATCTAAGACCAGCTAATTTACGTGTCAGTTCATTATCGACTTCGGAAAAGGGCATGTCCCTCATTATGACCCATTTAAGCCACTTGAACACGACCAGGTCACGTTCACTCACGAATTCAATGGTTTCGAGCCCCAAGTTGTTGTTCGGTGTTTTGAGAGCTGCGGTACATTTTTCTCTGAAGTCCTTGCCCTGGCACGCTTCCAAGTGCCGATTCAAATTAGTGTAACCAGTTTTTAAACGCTGAGTAGGCGTACGTTTGCACTTTAAGCACGTGTACACCACAGCGTCAGCCGAAGACTTTATGTCAAAGTAAAACTTGATAGGGGCTCAGGCATTTCCTCACGTCTGGACTTGGTTTTGGAGAGAGCCGTTGTAGAGATGGGCGAGGCGTACAATGGGGATGTTAGTGATACTGCGTCTGAGCGGATTCAAAAATGAAACCTTTGGTGCACTTCGGAGAAACAAACTATTCCGCAGCTAGAATGTAACCTCTTCCGCTGCGCTATGCCGTAAATTAGAGGCCTTGAACCGATAATACCTCGAAGATAGAATTAACTTCAACATAGACTTCAAGTTACTTAACACTAGATTATTGCAACTCGAATATTGCAATTAAAATACCCGATTGCGTGCCTCCACTAAATTGCAATACATGTACTGTACCAAACTGCACATAGAGAGCCAACTGCAATGTATACTGCAATAGAGGATTATCGAGGAAACCGGTGTAAATTGATTTTTTTTCCCTTGCCTGGTGAAATTGACGATCGAGTAAGATACTAATTCTTTATTTGAGACCTCCTCAATTTGTTCTGACTTACGTAACGTAAACGCTTAATTCGTTGAACCCTTTCTTATTGCCGCTACTTCCTGTACAGTACAAGTACAGTACTGCACCCCGTTTTCGCGCCCTTGGACTTTTGATAAACCTCCGGATCTGATGATCCTGATTGCAAATGACCTGTCAATTGTATGCTAAAATCTGATTTATTTGCAAATACAATTGGATTTCCTCCCCGCGAAAACGGGGTGCAGTACTGTACTGCACTTTCATCGAGACGTCTGTCAAATCAAACTGTCTCGGAATAAACGAGGTCGATGGGCACGCTCAATGCTGCGACTGCTACGGTCTATGGCCGACCAGGTGCTTGCATGGAAGACGCTCCACGCACAAACGCATCAGGCGAACTCGTCGGGAAGCATGAAAGAGACTTTTTGGTCCATGGACGCGAGTTTGTCCACCTTGAATCACTGAGAATCCTCCGTCATCAGGGTCATAGGCTCCGGCTATCGGAGCTTACGCACGTCCAATGGACGGTCCATGGCCGCTTCCTGGTTTCGGCGTGGAAGCTCAGAAGACCCGCCACTCGTCGCTACATGTATCTCATTGCCGAAAACGATGCCCAACTGCAGGAAGCTGCCACAGGGCGCTAGCAGTAATAGCCGTGCGCTTGCGATGTCGGTCATCGAGGAGGAACCGGCCCACATGCGCGAGTCACGTCTCGAAGACCAGGAAAAACATCCCGAGGACATTAAACCTAGCAGAGACGAAGAGATAGACGGACGACCTCGGCCGTCCGCTGCGGCTCCAGCCACCACATGCCCAATATCCCCAGCATCTGGGTCAGAATCGGCTACGTGTACGCAGCCTAGGTCGGCTTCAAGCTCTGCGTCTACGGCCCCCTCATCCGTCGACGAAAGGTACGAACGCTACAGCTCTAGAAACTCACGAGGATATAGGGGTCCGCCACGCAGCTCCAAAGTGGAATCCCGTCCCAATTGCAGTTCAGAGTCTCGTTTAAGACCCCACTCTTCTTCGTCGAGCAGACCTGTGCACGACCCTCGTCACGATGGGCGTTCTTCTCTTAAAATGTATCCAGAGTACTCGCCTCATTCGAAATCGTCAAACTCTTACGAGGTAAACCATCCCCACCATCGACCACCGCGTCGCCATGCTAGTCCTCACTCCAGTAGCCGTCCAAAGTCTTCCTCTATTCCTCCGGACAAGAGATCCGTGTCGACGAAGCGTGAACGTGCGCACCGTCGCACTCCCAGTGCACCGCTCAGCTCTCCCGATGAAGTTCCGAGGACAAAATTAGCGACGAGACTAGACTCCATTCACGCGTCTGCTTCTCAAGATGTGTACGACTACCACCAACGAGCAGCGTCGCGTCAACAAGCGTCGGGACCGCGCTCCAGTTCACGCGAGAAATCCCAGTCGAAGATGCTACCGCCGTTCCGAGAACCTTTCTCTGAACGTGAAAATACTCGTTCAGAGGCGTATTCTCAGGCGAACTCAGCCCATCCGAACCACGGACACAGGCATCGTCGGATGTCTTGTCAGGTTTCACCTACGAGTTCGGAAGAGAACCACCGACCCAAGTCGCCCCCAAGTGCACTTGCGTCTTTGTCAGAAACAGAATTAAATGAGGACCGTCGTGTACGCGCGTTCCAAGACGTGAGTCCTCCTCCTCGGCAGCGCTCGACGTCAAACCCGAAGCCAATGTCTCGCACCCACATTGTAACTGCACAACGTCGAGTGGCTTCGTGTCGAGAATCAAAAACGCCTGCCGCGATGAATCCGAAGTTGATGGGGGCAACTAAGTCAGCAAAGGACCATCAACAGGCTTCATCGCGTCTGTTTTTAAGCTCGCGAGACCCGATTCGTACTCGATCGACTTCACTTCTTCCCAAAAAGTCATCAAAACCTGTTTCAAGTGAAGGTCCGATGGCTCGGTCAGCATCAGCGTCGAGTTTGTCGTCGCTTGGATCCGCACCCTCGCCTCGTATGAGTGGTCCCCAGATGCCGCTACGTCTCCGCCATTACGAAGGAAGATTCTCGAACCGACGGAAGCAAACGTTGTTTTATTTTTCTCTCTTCCCGCCTGAGAAGATGCCAATGCGTGGAGTTGTATTGGCTCTGCACGGCATTGGTGACCACTGCCGACGAAACGTTAAGTTGTACGAGCGGTTGTGCCGAGAAGGCTTCGGTGTGATCACCTACGACCTGCTCAACCACGGCGTGAGTGATCTCGACCATCACAAGACACGCGCACACGTCAGCAACTTCCAATACCTGGTAGACGACACGAACGACTTCATCACGTTTGCTAAGCGATCCATCTATAGAGATGCACTTCGGTACTGGCGGAAGCACCACTCGCAAGGTCGGGTGAGCAGCACGGACCTGTTGTCGCAGCCTGAACTACCGCTTATCGTTGCTGGGACGTCGTTTGGTTCTCTCGTCGGTCTTCACACCGTTCTGGTCGGTGAACATAACTTTGACGCTGCCGTTTGGGGCTCACCCACTGTTGGTGTGACGTGGAGCCCTCTGCTTTGGGCAGAGGCGAAGCTTTCGAAGCCTCTGGCTGCCATCATCCCGACGGCGAAAGTTGTGCCTGCCGTTCAGCACGATCTGCTGTGTCGTGACCCAAAGTTCTTGAAAAGGTTCAAGGCTGATCCACTCACCTCGATGGACATGATGACCACTCGCACTGGGCACGAGTCACTTCAGGCAATGATCCAGCTGCAAGAAAACACTCGGGTGACGGACCCCAGCAGCACATTCTGCGCTGTCCCGACGCTCTTCCTAGCCGGATCAGCCGACGGCATCTCCGATCAGCAGGCGGCCATCAAGTTTTTCGGCACGATGGGGAATTTTGATAAGGAATTTAAGCTATTTGATGGCCTGTTCCACATGGTTTATGAAGAACCCGAGAAGGAAGACGTCTTCCGGTACCTTGGTAAATGGCTGCACCGCCGGTTTCCTGTTGAAAACCGTAAGTAAGATATAGTCGTTGAAAGTAGCTGAGTACAGGTGGAAGTAAAGACGGAATATGATGTTATATGTATCTTGTGTCCGTGTAATGTGAGTCCATTCAATAAACGCCTACTATACATGTAGTAGTGCTATTAATACTAGTACTAGCCGAGTGCCGCCGCTACGCGGCGCTTAGTTCTACTTGTTTTGGCCTTCCCGCCTCCGCTGCGCTTCGGTGGGATAAATATTAAAAAAAAACGCTAAGCCCCTATGCACCTCGATATTTTATTAATCCAGCTCAGCATCACGTTACCTGATTAAACAATTATTATTATAATGATCTTGGATCATGATTCTTACTACAACCTCTTTATTATTGTTGGTTATCACTGTCCAAAACCACCTGCACTTCAAAAAAATTAAACAAACGCTACACAATATGCTTAGTTTAGCGTTGTGCTCGATGCCACGGGCCGTTTCTGAGCCATGAAACTTAGCTCACATCAACGCAAAAGGTCGTAATGGTTGCACTACTTAGTAAGTACTACTTACCCACTTGTTTAATCTTGTAAGTAACTCGCGATTGATCACCTCTCATACAAAACTCAATGAAAGCTAAATATATTTCATTTTGATTTAAACTTAAAGTACCACCGCGTAGTGGGCGCTCAGCTAGTTAATAATAGCGACAGCCTGGATTGAGAGACATCTGTACCGTACTCAAGATTCACTGGTTCGATAGTGACGCCGTCGAGTCTCTTGCACCTTGGAGTCACGGTACATCACGTGACCGAGGGTTCGTCGCTTGAACATCTTGGGCGGTGCCGCATCTTTGTCGACAAGCGATTATCCGCAGCTCTGGAGAAATCACTACAATATCGCGTCCGACCATATCCTAGGATTTGATATATTTTCTTAAAGAAAAAAGCTACAGTACATTTACAAGGTTAATTGAGAGGCAAGGATAATGACATCTTCTACGTCTACATCGGGTCCGTAGCTAGTGTGACCGACCGCTTTACTTCTTTCATCAGCGGCATCTGCGTTCGCGGTGAGAGCAAGTGTAATACGAGTCTTCCTTTTCTTGGCAACGCGAGCGCCCCTGGTGCAAATGGAGCTGGAGGGAGCCATAGCATAGCAGAATCCGGTTTCATCCATGTTGTAGATATCTTTAGGCTCGTAAAGGTCGGTCAAATCTTGTGGTCGCTGACGGCCGAGCGCTACTTCGACGGGATCAGCAGTGCCAGCTTCGCCAGGGAGTTTCCGGCTCCGCAAGATATGCCTCCGCTCCCCGTCAGTACACCCTCCTTAAAGCGATTGTATCGATATTTTAGGGATATTATTTTATACCAGTACCGGAATGGAGAGCGATTACTGTACAGCACAAGAACGACGAGAAGTGGTCAACGAAGATTCAATCTGTGGGGATTTGACAGAACTTCTCCCAAGAGTGTGCCAGCGGCAGTTCCCGACGCGAAATATGTTGACCCTGGGATGGTCTAGCGAAGTCTCCACCGTTGAATGCTTGCTGTGCGCTTCAACACGTTCCTATGTTGTTTTCGGTCTGATGGAGCCTGCATTGAGACTTCATCGGCAAATCTGACGTGTTTTTTACTTTCGCCTTGTGGTGGTTCATCACTGCTATTTTCCCAAAATCACATTTGCTTGAATTGTCGTCACGAACGATATTTCCGAATATTTTCTGCTGCGAATACGCTTTACCCGTTAGACTTTGTACGTCACACTCGGTTTGATGTGGTGCAATCTCTGTCGTGTCTTCGTTCGGTTCGGAGATTACTTCCTGAATGCGGTTAAGTGTCACTAACTCTATTTTACGGGTTTCGGCGATAACCACTCGACTAACCTTCGATTCCAAGGCTTCCGTATCGAATGAATCCGCGGCAGAGTTGTACTTCCCTACTACATGAATCCATTTAGCGGCTCGCAGCGGTGCCCAGAGTTCTTTGTGAGTATTTAGCTGCGAAAGCAGTAATTCTTTTCGACTTGCGATCACCCCTAGTGATTGCTGTATCGCGAGCCTTGAGTAACCTATATGACCAAATTATGGGCAATAGCTGCCTTGACACCGTTGTTCATTCCTGTATATTCAGCGAGATTCACCGTGGTCGATGAAAGGAAAGCGTTAGCTGGGATCACTATCGTCGCGTTAGGTAGCTTCCACAGTATCCACGAACAGCTGCCAAATCCACCGTACTTTTCGGTCTTCGCTGAATCGTCAAACGACAAGACAAACCCTCTGTAGTCGCAGGGCAATCTCGCATACAACGAAGACGGGTCCATACAAATCGGCGGTGAGCCTTTTCTCGGCGGGGCCAACGGCGCCAGCGATTCTTCCAGATCTACAAAGTTCATAAGGCTGGATTGAAGTAGCTGTGTGAAGGTTACATTCGTGTCCTTGACTCGCTGGACTTTCAGGTTCCACGGCGAGAGTAAAATCGCAAAGTGAACTGCACGTCCGAACAGTGACTTGGAATTATGAATTCACTCGAGCGTCGAAAACCTGGTATAGATGTGCAGTGTCTTACCAGCCAGCTGTGTGTAACGTATCTACAACAGCAAAAGCAGAATCAGTACCTCCTTCTCAGTGGGATGGTAGTTCATCTCGGACTCCTTGAGCACCCTACCCACGATTCGTCCGGGGTGTAACTTCCTTTCATGTATCTGCATAAAGGTCGTGCTCAAGGCCCATTCATTTGCAAACAGCGTGACATGGACTTCCTTGGTCCGGTCAAAGTGTTTCAGGTTAGGTACTTCGGCAACCTTCGTTTATAGCATCGCGAAAGCATGACGTGCATCAGACAGGTCGCCTCCGGCTCCAAAATCATCCCCCTTCAGATGGTACAATGCCGCACCATACACTGCGAGGTCCTTAATAAACCGACTATTGTAGTTCAGTGCCCCGATGAATGACTGCATTCCACGCTTGTTCGTTAAAAATGAAAGCTCGGTGATGGTACCAAGCCTTTTCGGGTCAGCTCTTATACTGTCGTGCGAAATCTCATGTGACAAGAAGTCTACCTTGGACTGACAGAAGGTACTCTTCGTGAAGCTGATACGGATCCGGCATTGCGCAAAGCTTGCCAGAAATCGATCCAGATTTGATACGTAACTGTCGAAATCCTCGCCACCGAAGCAGATGATATTTACAAACGATCGTCGGCTGATCACAGGGACCAACATCGATTCGTCGGGTTCCTCGTTCGTAAACATGTCTGCTCTGGGGCTGTTTACCAGTTGTAGTACAGGATCTGTGTCCATCGAGTCTTTGCGGTCTGCCGCGAACTTGGTTTAAAATGAACCATAGTCGCTGGTTATACAGCGTTTCTTGGCTTGCTCTTCAGCTAAACGCATCCCCCCAAGCATTGGGGGTTCGTTCAACCCAAAGGAGGCTGTTTTTTTAAACCAGCCTCACACCCACAACGCATTGGCGATCATACGCTGGTATTCCATAGATTCGTTCTTTAATCCAAACGGCATGCGTAGCCATTCGAAGTGTCCTAGTGCACAGACAAATCCTGACTCCTTTCGTGCTCGTAGGGTCATCATGATGGCCCAGACGTCGCTCGCGGTATCGAGCGGTTAGAGCCACATGTAGCACTCGCGGTCTGTAAACAGGTCATTGACTAGCGGCATCGCATATTCCACGATGGTGGTGATAGCGCTCACCATCTTGTAATCAATGCAGAGCCGGATGTCCAGGCCATTCGTTTTCGTCACAATCACTATAGGCAATGCCCATGGACTATCCGAGAAAACAATTAGACCAGCTCTCAGCAGGGCTCTCAGCAATTCGTACAGCGTGCCAAGATATCGGAGCGGCACTCGTCTGACACGCTGTTTAATAGGCGCGTGCCCCTGTGTGTCAATATACGCTGGCAGTGGTAACATGTTTCGACTAGCAATCAGAATGTGCTCGTGGCTCTTTAGCGTTGCAACCAGACGCTCTTGGCGATCCGACGACAGGCTGAGCTCTGCCACATTTGGCGCACTGTAATCAATAGTCGTGTTGGGATCCTCAGTGAGGTCTGGAAGGAAAGCCAACTCCCTTGCGTAGCCTTCCAAGCCGATTGTATTAGCTGGATGTTCAGCGAAGTCAGCTTTCATGTCTTTTGTGGCTTCATTCTCTTCAGTTATCGTCATGCAGGCCACCAAAACGTACGTTTCGTCCAAAGTCGCGACGCCTCTTTCTTCCGAGTTGACATCACCACTAGAGGTTGCATGTTGGCAACTGTCCTGGCCGTACGGCATTTGCTCCAGACTCACTTTGAATGCCCGGTAATGTATTTATTAGCTTTGCAGCATTCATTCGAGCGTGCGTATGCTCGGACGCGTCTTCATCGGCAATATTGAGCATACCACAACCCGAAGCGTCATTGTCGGAACACACGTCATCGTATTATAGGGACCGCGTAGCGGATGGTCCGGCATTGCTCCAGTCATCAAACGAACGCTCGGTAATGTCCCTCACACCTCTGTCACACTATGTGGTATGTCGAGGCTTGTCACCGCGTATTCGTTTGAAGTTTTGTATCCGCAGCAGCTGGACGTGAGGAAATTCCAGACAGCTGAACTTCAATTGAATCTGTGGTCGTACTAAACAAGCCTCGGCACACTCACGCCCCTCCACAATTCTCGCCCATCGTTCTGCACGCGTAACGCAGGCCATCACATCACCTACCGAGTCTTCTGGAGGCCTGACCATCATCCCTTGAGGATCTAGATAATCAAGTCACTCCACCGCGGGTGGTTGAGTAGCCAGCCACTGCTCGTAGATGTCTCGTTCATGGTCGAGCAGCTCTCGATCGCGACATTCTTCTTACGCGAGTATCTGTCAGGCACGATACTTCGGAAAATCGAGTCGCACATAACCTTCTCCACGGGGCCAACCTCCGGCTGGTATCAACACAGCAACCAAGTCATGAGCCGGTAAATAAACCGTTTGGTCAGACACATTGGTCAGCGGGATAGACCCAGTGTTAACACGAGAACCGTATTCTTCACTGGCGATCATATTCTTGGTCTTTATCAGCGGAATTCGTACCTCGTTTGGAAGTCGAGCAGCGCCGTGGAACCGATCCAGCCGAATGTCAGCCTGGATCATAAAGCCCGTCCCAAGCACCACGTCGGCGCCTGCCCTATGTGGCATCACCTACATTTCGAGCTGGTAGACCATTTCTCATCCGAGCGTGATCTTCACCCGTGCTCGTCGTGTCGTCGATACCTTCCCTTCGCTGATTCCTTGTATGTCGAAACGACGTCCATGATCGGGTACATCACCGATTCGTAGCTTCTTAACGAAGGTGTCGGTGATGACACTAACGTTAGCTCCAGTGTCGAGGGAAATCCTCGTACGCCTGCCATTCACAGCACCCTGCACCAGAGCCCGCATTCTTATCCTCCGGTCAAACTTCTTGGCTGACCACCACCCCTGTCTCTTTCCAGGGTTCAACTTCATCGTCTTGGAGTGACCCTTGGCTTCGTCCAGCGCTGCCTTTAAACCGCACCAAACGAATCCACGCTAGCTTCTGTATCAGCTTCAGCACACCCCAAAATATCTTCCACACCTCCACCGAGGATTGAAACCCTCTCCTATTCACATACCGTCGCGTCCACACTTGTTACATAATCAATAGGCCATTCACTCTCCCCCATGAAAGCAAGTATACACTCTGCTTCCAGCGAAGGCTCGGTTAACTGTGGCAGCCCGATTGGGACCAACCCAGTTTTAGTTGACGGGTTGCCTAGTTTAAATGGCGTTTTTGGACTACGGCCTTGAGGTGAGGAAGGAGCCCCTCCTTCGTGCCTTTTGTACGCACAAATTTGGCCAGATCCTGGAAGTTGTGGAAAAGTTAGCACTATCCAGCGTCATGAACCTGCTTGCAGAGCTTGCACCGCTTGTTGCAGTAGTGAGCGGAGTGGCTCATTCCACGCAGCACATGGCCCATACTAAGGGCGTCGCGTGTCGTGAGTGTAGTCGCGATTTACTCGCGTGTCTTGACTGAAACCTCGGTCGCCTCCTCGGCGATCTTGATTGAAGCCTCGTTCTCGGTCTGGGGTGCTCCCCCGTTATTGGCAGTTATCGGAACGGGCGTACGTGCCTTCAGCGGACTCTCGACGCTCATTCTCGTTGGCGGCAGCGATGTAGTGGTCTTCGTCACCATGCGAATCGTCGTTGTCGGCATCATCATACTGATAATCATCATACATATCGTGGTCATCGTCGTGACCACAGCGTTCTCCATCCAAACGCTCGATACCACCGTGATTAGCTTCGCGATCTTCCAATTCAACTAGTAGATCATATAGTGAGGTTTCGAAGGGCGTAACGCTCGGCCTGTTGCGATATTCGTCACGACGACGGTCATACTCGTGACGGTCACGTCTTTGACCTCCGTACGACTCGTCACGACGC